ATCCTCATTAACCACCACCCCCTTCCCATTCTTGGATACAACACACAGGTGTCATTCCCTTCGTCTACGGACCACCCCTGGGAAATGTCCGCAAACGTCCATTCAGTCCATGGCTCTGGGCTCCACCTGTGACGGTGGTCGCTCAGGACAGGAGAGGTGGTGTGTTGCATGGAGTTACTGGGCGCCAAAGCCAGCTCAGGTCGCGTCACTGCTGTGCTTGCACTGCTGCTTGTGAGGCTTGTCCACCAATTGAGGTGATTTAAGGTGATTAGATGTGCCGAAGTGAACTCTATACCCTTTCAAACTGCTACAGAATAAAGCCTCTGGGGATCAGTGAGAGGGTAATAGAAACGGAGGGATGTTGCGTGGCTGGTATTCTTCTTAAATAGAGACTTGTATTCACCTGGATGAGCCAGGACATCCTGCCATTTTCATTAGAACAGAGGAAATACTCAATCTTGATTTTAAAGTTCTGAACAATAGAGACCTCGCCTTACTAAAGCTTTAGTGTCTAATGGCCTTGCTCTTTTTTAAAAACTGTACTTTAATTCCCCTCTACACTTCTCTACCTTCAAATGCTTGGGATTGGCTTCTTACTCTTTAAAGTTCTGATTCTTCTCTATGACACTGGCTTGACCATGTAAGAAATTTGGGGTTAGGTGGCCACTGCAGGGTTGGGGAGGGGACAATTGTTGTTAGGTGACACCAGTCCAAGATAAATGCATCCCTCCAGTCCCTGCTTGTTCAAAAAACCCAAAAAGGTTAACTTTGTAACAGTAAGCTTCGTGCTGGGTCAAAGTAGATAGGGGATTGTTTGTCTTTAGCCTAGAGCTGACAAATCTGACCTAAACACTTTGTCAAGTGCCCTCGTTAATTCAGCAGAAACATTAGTGTATTCCTAGCTTGATGCATTTCAAATTTTAGGACGAGAGGAAACGGCCTCAAGCTGCGCCAGGGGAGGTTTAGGTTGGATATTAGGAAAAAATTCTTCACCGAAAGGGCAGTCAGGCCGTGGCACAGGCTGCCCAGGGAAGTGGTGGAGTCCCCATCCCTGGGGGTGTTTAAAAGACGGGTAGAGGTGGTGCTTGAGGACATGGTTTAGTGGTGGGCTTGGCAGTGCTGGGTTAACGGTTGGACTCGATGATCTCAAGGTCTCTTCCAACCTTAATGGTTCTGTGATTCTATGATTCTATGAAATTTGTACTACTGGAAGACGGGACATACAGAGAACTGGGATTAGCTATCAGGAAAGCGCAAAGACTCTTTCTGCATGTCCCTGGCAGCATAAATGGAATAAATCTTTCACCTCCCTTTGTAATGCCATTGCAGCATTAAGGAAGGAAGACTAAGCCTGCTTTTTTTGGCACCTCCAAGGCTGAGTTAGAGGCGCCTGGGAGGAGACAGCTGGGAATCCTGCACTGTCTTATCTGGTTCAATAATTGTGTTTATATTGTGTACGCATCTTTGAAGCAAAGCTTCATCCACCTGAGCGTTCAACGGGATGCCTCTAGCCAGTCCTCACTATCCACTGGAAAAAATGGAGGACTCTATTTTAAGAAGAGAACAACTCTGTAAATCCTACAAATTAGACTCCTCTTCCCCAACAAAGGCAAATTTGTCACGTCCTCCTCCTTTCTTTCTGCTTTTCATGCCACATAAATCAAGATTTTTAATGTCAGGCATCTTTCCCTGAGAAAGGAAAGGAAGGTCTTAACTCTGTATGCCTTATTTGTAATGTCCGTACTCTGACGCCTGCCCGCCTCTGTGGGTGTGTCTGATGTTAAGAGCAGGCTTTTAAAAGCATTCGAAGGGCTCAAAAGGGGTAGAAGAGGCGCAATCAAAATATTTTTCTGGATGTGGTCATAGATGATAAAGGGTATAGTAATGAGAAACGAGCCAGAGTTAATCCATGCTAAAGGTCTTTAATTGAAAGATAATGCCACCAATTGATCTGTTTCAGCATCTGAATCATCAAGAATGAAACTCTCAACGGAGATATCAGGGGAAGAACAACATCAGGGTTGGCTTTGTGCAGCAGCTCTCAAGCATCCGGACTTGGTTCAAGAACGGTAAGATTTTCAGGCCTTGGTATTGCTGCGACAGTACTTGAAGCCCAGAATGTCCAGAACATCAAATTTAAAGCATGGCTCTTGAACGTATACATATTCGGAACCTTTAAAAACAAGAAAAGTAAAAAAAAAAAAAATACCATGAGGTAATACCTAAGATGGTGTTAAGTGATCTGTGCATTCATTGGCAGCCGTTAATACCTGGCACATTGCGCTCACATTTTTCGTCGAATTGAGCCATCTCAAGTACCAAAGCAATTATCAAATCAATTATGAAAGCAAAGCAAGGAGCGAGTAGGCGGAAATGCTGCTATGTCAGAAATCGACATCCTATGCCTGATCTGCAGAGCATCTTTCCCATGACAGGCTTTGCGGACCATCAGCTCGCAGTAAGGCTCAGAGTATTTTGCTGGTGCTTCAGGATTATCTCCTCTGAGTAAAACTTCCTTTCTATATAATTAAAAAGAATTTCTTTTTTTCCCCCACAATGCAAGAAATTCTATTGCAAGTGATCAAAATATGACTATGGCACCCACAGCAGGACAGTTGATTTATACTAGTCTCCGTAGCAATAGCTGGCATTCTACAACAGTGTTTTTCTATTGCTCTGAATGAGCAATGTTTTTAATAATTGTTGCAATAGAAATATTTTACATGTATGACTAAAAGATTCTTTTGTAGTCACCATACACAACTGGATCTTTAACTCAGAAATGAATGATCACAGAGATATGCTATTTAGTACTCTTTTGGTTTTCCAGTACAGAGGGGCACTTTACACTCTGTACTGTTCGTATCTATTACTGTGCACCGTACGGTTATGCTAGTGCTAGTTAATAGGCCCTGTCAGGCTTTGACATTATCGGAGAATCCTGTGAAGTGTAGGTCATTAAACTCCTAGGTGCTGTGATCACTCCACCTCTGAAAAACCTACAGGGAATGAAGCAACTTGGCTTAGTATTGTGAAACCTAAGTGTTTGGTGGGATTCCTTGGTAAACTTATCGGCAATCTCTGAACTGAAGGATAGTCGTTCTTAAGACTACGCTTTTTTTTTACCTTGGCGCTACAGATGAGGTCCATCTGCAAAATTCTGGGCCAAACCTTAAGCTACCTTAAACTTTACTAAAAGGAGTAGTAAGGATTTGGATCAGATCATTTATGGAGGTTGTGACTCAACACTGTTCCAATCCTGATCTGCAGAGATAGTGAACCCTTTCTGCAGCTCCTGAGGTTCTTGATTTGTGCCCAGCTCTAGTTGGCACAGCCGCATTTGTGTATTATTCCCCAGGTAAATAAAGGTGCCTGGTTAGTTGCAGACATAATTGATTTGATTGTACTCACGGTCAACTTCATAAGCTACGTAGGTTCTGAGTCCTTTGCACATAGCATAGATGTCGGGTCCGTAAGACTTGAGGTCGCGGATAGGTCTCTTGATGACGAATGTGATCTCCTTTGTAGGTTGTCCTTGACCTTTCAGGCTCTAAACAGCAAATAACGTCATTCAGCAAGATCAGTGCCTTGATCCATTTAATGCTATGCATATTCCTATCTCTGGAACGATGACTCAGTGCTTGGTGTTTTACTCAAAACTGTATTTAGTACAGTCTTTTAATCCACTGTGTGACTATGGGACCATTAGCAAGCATTGAAGGCAGCTCCTATGGCAGGTCTTTCTAAGGCAGTCAAGGTGAAGGGAGGCTAGAAAGAACTGGAAACTCAGTTAAACAGCTGAACAGGAAGAGAGTAGTGCAGTCAGTACGTTAACACAGACCTACAAAAGTATTTCCTCAGTCACGTACTAACCTCACCCTAGAGGTACTCAGGTTGTAACCTGGAAGCATGGAAGGAGAGGTCTATTCACTCAGTCTTCTAAAACAACAACCAAAGAGGGCAGTAGCAACACTTGGCAGAATCATTTACACCAAAAGTATTCACAAGTAGTGTTTATGACCTCTTTGAGAAATCTGAGTGTTTTAGTGGGACAGCTTTTTCTGAACTGCTCCAGAGTGCTCTGTTTCAAATGAATTTCAAATATATTTTCCTACTTGAGTGCTTTGTTGTTTGGACAAAGTGTCTCGATGCCTGTATTTTATCTTATGACCTAGGCTTCCTGCTGGTTTGTATCTCTCGTTATTCAGCTACAGCCACAGGACTCCTGTTCTGGCCCATACAATTAAAACGGAGAAAAGGCTGTTGAATATAGAGATGCTCTCTTATGCCCTAAAGGAAAATGGAGGTCTGAACAATAGCACCTGCAAAGCAACGTTCCAAAATGAAAAATGCAATTTCATATTGAAATGACTCAGAACTATTCTTAGATATTGCTATCCAAAAATAATTAATGCCACTGAAGGTTTCCTAATACAAACTGTTTCTTAGCAACCTGCAAACCTGAAGTTCCTCAGAGAAAATGTGGCTGGGGAGGGGAATGAGGCACCTACTCTTTTTCTTTTGAAAAACCATCCCCATGGCAAATTCCCAAGCCACATCACTGTTCAGAAAAACAAACCTGCCACTTGTGAATGACTAGGATTGACACAGGCTTTCAAAATTATGGTGGAATTTTATCAAAGGGTTCCTGAAAGCCCATTCCAGTATGCTCCCTTCTTGCTGGTAAGCAAGGAGTTGAGATAAGCTTCAGGGGGCACAGAGATGCACCGTAGTACAAGCAAGCCTGAGACTATAGCTAGAGGTCAATGTTTTTGCTCAAGCCTGTCCTTACGTAACTCTCCCCTTTTTCTTCCCCACCATGCCTTCTTGCCCTTTAAAGCCAGCATTTTTATAAGGACTCAGTTCTTAGACTTCAAGAGAAGCACTGTCTACAAAAGGTTAGTACGCTGAATGCTGAGATAATTTTTAAAATGTCTGTGCTAAGTCTGTGGGCTGAACTCACGCTAATATGGTGCTTAGTTCTTTTGATAAAGTTTTGAAAGCTTGAAATCTTATTTCAACTTTTTTCCTCATCACTGGATTATTTTTTCTTCCTCAACAAGGCCTGCCTAAAAAATTATTTTTTATCCTGCAAAGACTGTGAGATTATGAAGTGTACCATGCCAAAAATCTAAAATCTCTAAACATAATACAGTGTTAAAAAGCAGTCAATCTAAATAACCTTTTAACATTATAAAAAATAATCTAAGTGATCTACAACTTCAAAAAACCCATGAAAACCCACCACTGCAAGCATTCGAAACAGGGTATTCTAACTTTTCAAAGGTTTCAAATTATGTTAATGTAAAATGCCATAGAAACTGATACAACTTCTAAATCAATGGTGTGATCTAAACGGCTTTTAAAGTAACCGTTGGTTTAAAAGCTTTTGAAAATAGCAATGTCTCTGACATTACTTTACTTTGCATTACTGTACAACTTTATAAGTAACTACTCCTTTTTAATCTTACCGTGTTCTCTTCAGCCAGTCTGGGAAGTGCATTAAAGCTAGGCAACTCATTTCTGTTCATTCTGGAAATGTAGCAAACGTGTTCTCGCACCACTTTGGTTCCAATAAAGCCCTGTAAAATAAAGTTACTGACAACTAGCAATTCAGTTTTTCAATAATTAAAATTGGAATAAAGTCTGTATTAAAGAAATAATAAATACAGATATTTTTTTTTTACCCCAAAACTTGGACTCAAAATGTTAAGAATAAAGAAACAAGTCCTGTATTTTGGTCAGCTTTATAGGAGCTCATCGCCTTGTACATTTTCTGAAAAAGCATGCTCCTTGCCACTCACGCTATTGTAGTTCCAAATGGTTGTCCATGACTCCCCCTTCTCCTCGATAATTGCCACGTCCAGTTCCCTGTTGATGGTCAGAATTTGGTAGCCTCCAGCAACAGTGATTTGCCTGTTTGTGTCCGTATTCTGGAACTAGAAAACAAAATTAAACAACACTTTTAGACTTTCAAGTTAGTCAGTTATCTCCCCAAAGCTTTGGAAAATCACTGCTATAATAGAACAAATGCTGGCCCGCAGGGAGCGCCTTTAGTGACCACAGTATTTTCAAAATGACAAAGAGTTAAGCCTGTGGCATTCTGGAGTAGCCATAACAATTCTTTTAATAGATTCAATTAATAATTTCTGTATCTTACAACTGTCGTCTGGTGGTTTTAGTTTGATACATGAAAAAAGTTTTAAGATCCCTTTCCTCCAAATGGACAGGGGAAGAAGCACAGAAAACTCAAGAAGCAGGGAATATAGAAACAGCAGCAATGTATGTGTAACTTGGTCACTACACTCACGTAAGTAGCAAGGGCTGGAGTCAGCAAGAGTCCAAGAAGGACGGTAGTCACAATCTGAAACGAAAATTGAAAACAAAAGTGTAACTGCAGGCCTGGTTGACAAATCTGGTCATGAGAATCCTAGTGCCTTTTTCCTAATCTGGTGTTTAAGTGTACTCCTTGGATCCTTTTTTGCTTTCATACTGGAATTACAGTAGTCACCTAAAGTGAGTCATCCTTGCTTTACCCTAGAATAATGCAAACTAGACACATAGAAGTTGCTTTTTTAAGACCTGAATCTGAAGTTGCTTCTGAGACCTGTACAGTCATATAAAGGTATTTTACAAGAACGAGGAGAAGGAATTTAAATTTCTTCTCCTTAGGCATGACAAGAAATTGGTTGAGCCATTAGCGCATTGCTCCAGTTTTTCAAAAGCGTTGACAAAAACGGACATGGATTAGGCTTCTTGTAGATTGAATAATGTATAGTTAAACCCTAAAAAAAACCTTACCTCTTCATCTGATAGGTTAATAGGGTCTGAGTTGCTCACTCTGAAGGAGAAAAATCCCCCCAGAGAATACCTTTTTGCTGTAGACAGACAGGCACTTCTGAGAGATAAAGGCAATGGTTTTGAATCAAAGTTTTGGTTTATAAGCGGAAAAGAAAGCATGCATACTCACAGTGAATTTCATCTTGACTGCAGAGCTGATGCTAGTGCAGGTAGAATGAACGATGTGAACTGCCCACCTTATATATGTTTTCAGAATTAGCTGGAACAGGTAAGTGTTGAAATAAAATTATTTTGTAATTTGTATCCCTGTCTGCATGTCACTGAAAATTATTTCCTGCTGCAACTACTTCTGCAAATTTTGACCTGTCAGAGTCTGATAATTATCGGATAAGAATCCATTTGCAGTGAAAAATTAGGTATGTTTTATACTAACTCTCACAAGTACCAATTACTTTTGAAAAGTCACTTCACACTTAAGACCAGAGATAGCCTAGGGTTTAAAACAAAAGCCTTACAGTAGGCAAAAGAAATAAGAGCCTTTGTACCTTCCAAAATGTACTGTATGTTACCGTGTAACATACATGGGACCACACCATAGGGCCCACCAAAATATGTGGCCCAAATACGTTGCCACTGAAAATGGTTTTACAATAAATAGGCAGTTCAAGCTGAAATATTACATATATGTGCAAGTCTGTGGATGTCTCTGCTATTTTAAGTGGCAACAATAACTTTTTTTCACATTTCCTCAGCTTATTTTCTGTGGTGATGTAAATAACTTGTTGAAAGAGGTGATCATTCGGTTAGGCAGGTTTTTGAATACTTGGAGTTTGTGTCAAGTTGCTCAGTTTCATTTTGTGTGCAACCCAAGTCTGTGGCAGGGAACCACTGTAAAGATGCCCAAATTACTTTTCAACTGCAACCTGGCGCCTTGTTAAAAAAAACAGCCTTTTTAATATCTAAAAATCACTTCTAACCAGTCCTGCAAGTGCAAAATCAAATTCAATCCGGTCTCAGTTTCACTGAGTCGAGGCTGCTAGCCCAAAGGGACATTTTTGATACATACTGTTATGACAAATGGTGGTTATATTCATCGTTCTTTACACGCAGCAGCGCTTGTATGGATTTGTGTGAAAAAACGTGGGTTTGTGTGCAGGCTCTGAAAGCAGACCGCGCTCACTGTCGCCCGCTTGTGGCGCCGCTCGGGAGAGGGAAAAAAAAAAAAAAAAAAAACTCTTCATCATTTATCAGCAGTCCTGGTCAACCGGGGAGGTCCCAGATGACTGGAAGTTAGCAAACGTGATGCCCCTCTACAAG